GCAGATCCATAGAGCCCTCTGCTGGGCAGGCACCTGTCTTCCAGAATAGAGTGAGGGGGGACAGCTTGTCCTCTATTTCACCTGGGGGCAGACTCCCTCCTGCGCCTCTCTCTCCAGGGTCCACACAACATTTCTCCCTCTGCCTGTCACTGCAAGCAGAATCTCCCAGACTGGATTTGCGGGCCTATAGACAGAACATTGATGACAGACTTAGGAAGACTGCTCCGTCACAATGTCGCAAGGAAAAAAATATTTTAAGTTTCCAGAGCTTTGGAAATTTTAGAATTGTAGATATGAGATTTCAGCCCCATGACATAAAACATTCAATTTTTTCCTCTATTCCTATGTACAGGTAATTCATGTCTTGGAAATTAAACCTTTTTTGTTAGTGTTTTTGGCTCATTCTTTTTATTCTTAGATTCTAACCTTTTATTTACAAGTGGCTATATCCCTAAATTTTTATTTAGCAGGAGATCGATGATCTTAGGGAATGGATACCAGCTGGAGGATAGCAAATTATATGACTTCAGTGATTTTTCCATGTAAGAAAAGGCGGAAACAATATTCTAGTAAAAGATGTACTTTGGGACTTCCCTTCTCCTATGTACTGGTACTAATTACTATGATACTGGTACTAATCACAGTTGGATACAGTGAGTGTCTACAAGAGTTTATGACAGTTTTTCAGTACACATTATTTATTAAACAGTTTATTTTTTTAAAAAAATCATAAGGAAGTAGAAAGCAACTTTCATTCCTCATACAGGATTTTGAAAGTTCTAGAAATCCATCGATATATATAAAAGACTATATATGCAGTAATATCAGAAGGCTACAAAAAATGTCAGAGCACAAGAGTAGGAAATGGGTAGGAGCTCAAAACCCTGAGAATAACAGTTTAATAGTCATTAAGAAGGCCTTGATGTAGACGTTGAACATGAGCATGAAGATTCACCAAGGAAATTCCGGATGATTGATGGCTGACAGCTTTCAGATAACAGAGACAGAATTTTAAAAGGACTTCAGCGATAATAACGTGATGTTATAACAGCACCTGGCCTTGCTTAGTATAAACTAGTTTCTTTGCTCCAATTAAAGTCAGCATACAGGATTTTCACAGAAATAAACCTGCCTGAAGACATTCCTGTCTTCAAACGCATTAAAAAAAAAACAAACGAATTTTTCTAAGAACCTCATAGAAACCTCCTGAGAACAATCTGTATTAGTCTCAATGTATGTGTCATTTTTAAAAAGGCTACCACACTAGAAAAGTTGTAGGATATTGGTACAAGCAATGAACCCTTAAGTGGTCTCTAGAAGATTGTTTTGAGATTGATGGTATCGTTTCCATCAGGCTATTGTCAGTTTTAGAATACAGAATTGCCCAGTGGGTTATCAGCCCAGTTGATTCTGTCCGTCTGACCTGCTGCCTCAGTTTCCTATTTGACAACATCTGAAAAGAGACAGCCCTCATGAAAAGTCTTCTCTTGACTGGACGCTGAGAAAGGATTGCATTCCTTGTAGCTGATAGAACCCTACGTTACCTGCCTCTTCCCAATGAAGGTTTAACACTGAAATGAGCAGTGAGGTATGTCTAACATAGTTTAACCGTATTTGAAGCAGTACAATTATACTCTATTTTAGCTACGTTGTTGTTGAAAAGGCTAGTGGAAGTTTATCTGTAAATTAACCATTTATTAACATTTTTTTCCCCATATGGAAGTATTTTCTGAGTCCTAACTCAAAAGTACTTTTTTTTTCTCAATTAAAAAAAGAAAAAGAAATTCAGATCGGAGCCAGCTCACTGAAAGCATTTCGCAAGAATATAAGATCTCCCTGTAAAATAAATATATCTCAAACGACTCCCCTTGAAAACATCTGCGTTTCTGAGACAACTAAAAATGCTTTTTACAAAATCCAAAAAGTTTCGTAAAAGCATCTGATTCTGAATTCAACATTTCACAACTTCCCTAAACTCCATCCAGGTCCAAAACTCTACCTCTCTAGTACAAATGTATACACAAATATACAGCAGTGGTCATTCCGGCAGCTTTCCCAAGTCTAGGAAAATGCTCAGGTCCCTTAAGAAAAAAATGCAAGCCATTCTCGTTTGGTTAGAGGTGCGTCTTCAAGATCCCTCTTCCGGACTCGAAAGAAGACTTCACCTTCAAGGAGGGCATGCTGCTTTCTTAATCTTTTGAGGGTCCAGCCTCAGTTTCAGAGAAGCGTCAGTCTAGAGCAGTTTCGCAGACAGACGTGTCTCCTTGCTCAACAACACAAGACGTTGCTGCTTTCATCGCAAACACAGCAGAAGGTGCAGACCTGGGTCTCCTTCCTGACTGGGCGGCTGATTGTTCAGCAAGGTTTGATGTCACTCGACCTGTCTTTCCAGTCCCCCTCCACTTCTTGAGAGCTTCGGTCCTCTCCTCCGGACTGAGTCTGTCTAAGTGCTTAGCTCTCAGGATTGGGGACGGGAACAGGGAGCCCTGCAGGACTCTGTAGACAAACCTGAGTTAAGAAAGAGCAACACAGAATTAAATGCACCCCCCAAGGCATCATGGGACGCACAAACCATGCTGACCAAATGGAAAAAATAAAATGATTTGGCGGCCACTTGGCTCCTGAGTGAAGGGGGGAGGGGTAAGTGAACTATAAAATGGAGATAGGCCGGGCGAGGTGGCTCACGCCTGTGATCCTAGCACTCTGCGAGGGTGAAGCTGGCAGATCACTCAAGGTCAGGAGTTCGAAACCAGCCTGAGCAAGAGCGAGACCCCGTTTCCACTAAAAATAGAAAGAAATTAATTGGCCAAGTTTACTGATGACTTTACCTGTAACCCCTGCCTCCCTGAAACGTATAAAACCAAACTGTAACCCAGCCACTTGCTCAAGGCCTCTTGGGAGTGGCTCTGGGCCATGGTCCTCAAATCTGGCTCAGAATCAATCTCTTTAAAATTATTTTACAGAGTTTGGCTTTTTTTTTTTTTTCCCCGTTGACACAAGCTCAAGGCATCAGATAAATTGAAAGGAGGGAATATAAGGGCATCATTGCATGGCCTTGCAAGTCACCTTAGGGCTTTCGTTTATTCCAAGAACAATGGGACACCACTAAAGGTTTTACTCAAGAGAGAGCAAAAAAAAAAAAAAAAAAAAAGATGATATTCTGAACTATAAGAAAGGCATACAGTCATCACTTAAGGTCAGAGTCCCAGATTATAGCATACTTTTTTCTTTTGGTCAACTATAAATAAAGGATGCTGGTGTCGAAGAGTAATTATTCCTCCGCTGTCTCAAGCCTCATTAACCATCCACCACTGATCCTGCCAAACAGAGCAAAAGGATAGGTGTTTTCCATCCTCCCTGGCTGCCCATCGAAAGAGAACAGGTGGGAGTCCCCCCTGCCATGGGTCATTCATTAATCTGCTCCATCGCCGCCCTGTCTTCTAGGCACGAAGGGCTCACGGAGGCACTGCTAGCAGAAGACATTCCCACCCGCAAAGGGTTCCAGGATCCTTCAGAGGCAGGAAAACCACTCACCAAACTCTTGCTTTCAATGACCAGATGGAGGAGAATGATGAAGAGCGCAGCTGTGTTCAGGGGGTTTCCAAACGTAAAGATGTCAATGTCTGGCCCTGGTTAGGTCTGCAGAGAGGACCAATGGGTGATCTTGGAGACTTGTGCACACCGGTGTAGGTCTCTTGTACAAGTCCCTATGAGCTGGTCCTTCAGACAAACTCTAATTTCCAGAAGAGAGATGCTAAACCTCTCCCAGGGGAGACCATCTCATCCTCAGACTCTTCATTGGAATCTTTTTTCCCAACCACAGTTTGATCTTCCTGAACTCACACTCACACCTGTAGCTTCTTAAGGTGGAGAGGAATTTGTCCAACTGAACAGAGCCTCAAAACTTGGAAGCATTATTATGGACTACCTAAGTTATATCTCTCCTAGCAAATATGCCCTCCTCTCTCTCGCAGGTCTTCAAATTCTTAAACATAGTCCTTGAATGACACAGTTTATCTTTCACCGTCTTTCATTCCTGTTTCTGAACACATTCAGATTGCCTTTCCTGTATATTCCTCTTGAAGTGCAGTACAGCCAGAATGCTCCAGTGAGCTAATTCAAACGCTCATTAAATATTTTGAATAATATCTGAATAAAGAATGAAGACTGTTAAGGTAGAGACTATCAGTTTTTCTTCGTATACGTAAACTCTTGTTAATACCATCCATGACAAAACAAGCGTTTTATGTGCACAAGCAGCTGTATTACGCTGTTTAGTGCTTTGGTGTTAGCCTGAATTTTAAAAAAATTAACCTTTACACATTCTTTGCTTAGTTGAATTTCTTCATTCTTTACCTGTAAAACAGGTCTTTAGTTTTGGAGACGCTACTCACAGGATCTTAAATTTAATACCTTGAATGTCACCTATTAGAATTAGCCCAGCACTACTAATAAAGGTTTTATTTCGACTTGCCTCCCTGATTTTGACTAATCTAATTATATGGGCAGATGTTCAATTTTTTCAATCACTGACAAAAATGATTAAGCAAGTACAGCTTACAAGAGACTCAAGAGGACTTGAACAAGTATTCTTCCCAAATTAATCCACGTTAAACATATTTTGGTGGAGTTATAATTTAGGCAGCTAATAACGACCTGATTTTATTTGCTGATACTGGTGGCAAAGTACAAAGGCGCATTATCGTTGATTCATAATAACAAATGCACTGACTGAACAAAAGACTCACAAAGTAAGGCACGAAGAGCAGACCAGGCTTTGATAAAATGCATCAACAAGGTGATCCAGAAGTAAGAGGTAGGGTACGCCTGCAAATGAAAACAGAGGTTGGGCGAAATTAAGATTAACAAGGGTCCAAGGCTAAATCCAGAACAACACAAGCCAGTATTTGTTTTTGTCCTCCAAGAGAAACCTTTTATTCCTGCATTCTCTCACTCATAAAACAGGTGGGACTTTCAACAGAGATTAAAAAAAAAAAGAGAGAGTAGTTGAATGCAATGAGTTCACAGGCCAGTGTGAATGTGGTGAAAGAAATCCTTGTAGGAAACTCTGTATTCAATTCAGGTTTGTGCTCATCACTGGACCAATTTTAATCTACCTGAAACAGGCCAGCAGAGCTAACTTTTCATTTCCTATTGATCGGAAAGGACTGTTTCAACACTTCTCCAAATCCATTCCACTTCTTTTATCCACATTACTCCCTCTACTGCTATCCAATTCACTATCAACACTCTATGAATTAATGGATATTGCTAAAAAAAAAAAAAATCTAGAGTGGAAAGATAAAAAGTATATTTCCCCAGTTGCATGCGGAATAGGACTTAGGGAGTAAACAGAGAAGGATCAAGGATAAGATACATCAGTGGTGGGAATTAACTCAGGGATTTCTGGAAACTGAACGGGAATCTGGATTATGAAGCCAAAGCGAGAAAAGAAGACCGTGGTGGGTGAGGAGATAAACAAAAGGCTTCTTGGAAGGGAAGCTTCTGGCTGCAGATTTCCAACTCCTTGAGAGCACAGAGATTCTATAACCCCGAGAATGTATTTCACAACACTGAACACAGAAAATGACCCAAGCATAAAACGATTGTTTGGAGGCCAAGTTCAAAGACAGGATAAATTCTGGACGGTAAGTCAATGAAATCAATTATCTTTTGTCAACAGCCACATGCTGGGACTCCGCCTTGCTATGATCCTCTTTTATAGAATGGGCCGGCTCAACAGAACAATGTGTACGGAAAGACTGATAAAAGACTGGAATTCAACACAGGAACCGTGACCTCAATTCTCCCAAGGATAAGGACCCATTCAACTTTCAGTCTGTACAAATGGTTTTAAACAAGCTATATGGCGGCGCAAAAATAAATAAATAAAATAAAAATGATTGGGGATAATTAAAACCAGAAAACCACCCTGACAAGTCCATTAGTTTCTGTGACCTGGCTCTTTGGAGTCACTCTGCTTCCTCAGGATTTTTTGTTTTGCTTTGTTTTACCATCATTTCTTCAATATATTTTTAATAACTTTTCTATTTGTTCAGGGTAGCCAGCATAGATTGTTGTTGTTCTTAATCAGTGAATCCAAACTAACGCACTTTACGTGTTAGATGCTCTGGAAAAATAATAAATACCAGGACCTGTGCCCCTTCCTTAGGCTGTAACCGAAAGTACCTGTGCAATTGCTTAAAAATGAAATCGATACGAAAACAGTCCCAAATATTTCAGTTCTAGAATTCCCTTTACTCCTCTGGTATTTGCAGATATTAACTGATTACTAAATTTTGAGCTTCTAAGAGTTGGTTATAAATAAATGAAGCGAGTGACGCCCAAAATAATGAGCCTTACTTTAGAAACTGTTCTAAATAATTTAATGATACAGCCTCACATATTTTAAACTATAACCTCATTCGGCTATTTTCTATTTGAAATTTCCTGATTGCCAGGGTGGGTAAGTATACCCCGAACACTGATTAGTTCTTTTATCTTTCATTGATTTCATTCAAATATGTTTTGAGCGCCTACTGTGTGCCATACTCACACTCGACACAGGGGTACACAGGGGAGAAAAAAACAGGTGTGCACCCTGCCCTCACTGGGATTATAGTCGAATGCAGAAGATATGCATGAGTCAGATAATCACATACTTAAGTGAAGAATTATAAATTATCATCGGAGCCATGGGTAAAAGTGAGAGAATGAATGGTTAGGGAAGGGCTCTTGGGGGAGGTAGCATTTTTGCTGATACCTAACAAGACCTAAAATAGCATTTGAGTTGGGTGAAGTGCAGGGAAACAACTGGAACAAAAAAATACATCCATTAAAAGATACGGTAAATGCCGCAGTCCTGATGTGATACTAAGTGTAAACTAAAATAACATTTTAAGGCTCACTCCACACACCGGCTGACTGAATGGATCCCTTAGTGGCCAAAGGAATATCCTAAAATTAAATTGTCTGCCAGGAGGAGGGAGCTCAGACAGGCCTCATATCATGCCCCCCTCCCTTCTTGGGGACATCCTTTGTGACCCATTAACAGGCCTAAGGGTATGCAAGACACA